AGCATCAAGTCTTTCCTATTATCGGAACGATTATTACAAAGCGCAACAGCGTAGCATTGTGAGAAGTATATTTTGACGAAGTTTTAGGATGCGCTTCTGCCACATTTAACTGCGATGTGGCTCTTAGGCCTCGATTTCATGCTTACGTCGCAAGTGTGTATGTAGGAGCTCCATAGTCCATTGTCTTTTAGATAGATGGCTACTGTAAGCATCTCTTACAAAAGGAGAAAAATCGCGTTTTTAAAAACCGTTCAGCAACTAGATAACTTCACGATCCGAGAACTCTGCTGCCCGCTGGAAAATTATTTAAATAAGGGTTTTCTTAGTTATATCGTAGTTGTTCACATCACGGTTTCTTAATTATACCGCCGCTTATAACATTTTGTTGGTTTCTCATCGATTTCCCGGCTTACTGGGGTCGTTCCTTACCTTCACTCACAAGTTCTGTTATGGCTGACTGATCTGAAAACGAAGCAATGCGACAGGCATATGAAGTCAAGGAAGTCTGTGTTGGATTCAGAGGTTCCTCCAGAAAAAGCACCGTTTCAGTACATAATCCACACCCCCATTTGCCGAAAATGTTTTACAAAAACTATTGCTCAATAACAGCCACAAAAAAAACTATTGCTCAATAACAGCTACTGCTAGCTGGTTTCCTTTCCTTAATTGTCCCCCCTTGAATAAGCAGCACGGAATTAAGTTAATGGTGCAGACAGCTGAGGTATAAACCGTTTTTAATAATGAGTAAATGACGTTTGAAACCGATTAAATTAATTTCCGTAAGTGAAGGCGTCTGACAGGTTTCTCTTCTCGATTCCGGCCTTTCTTTGCTTGCACCTGTGTTTTCGATGTGTAGGTCAGTTAACAATGTTTTATTGACAGTTTGTAAAGTAGTCTTAAATGTACATTTGCTCCTTTCCAATAATTTATGTGGAAAAATACACCATAGAACAGAACATCATGTTTGAAGAAATGTATTGGGCCGCGCAAAATCTGCCTGTGACTTCCCAAGTTGTTTATAGAAACAGCAGCAAACTTCGGATCAGTTTACAGCTAGTTGTTTCTTCAGTTTTAATGTATTTCAAAAACAGTTTTTCTGTACCCAGCAATTTACAGATGTATGGTGGGCGACAACTGCCATACGTCAAAACGACATAAATTTGTTAGTTTTAGATTGAACTTAAATCTTGTATTGGAAAATAAAGCGAAAGCAAAACGTCAAATTATTTTGTATTTCATTGAACTGGAAATAGATTCATTTTGTTAACTTTCAAAATAAAACAAAACATTTTTATTATGAGATGAAAAAAAATAATAATAAAAAAGTGAATAAAATAAGTAAAAAATTTGTTGAGGGAAAAAGCAGAAACGACAATTTTCGGAAAAATCTTCTGTTCGGAATACGATTTGAGATCTAGAATTTTCGGAACATTTGTTGTAAAATTTCTTGCTTTCCTGCCTCTCCTAGGATTTTCGAACATCTGAAAAAAATGGTATAATTGCCTATTTTTAACGGATTTTTACCCTAAAAAGGTCTCCTAGAATTTTCGGGAGCCTTTTTTCTGGCTGAAATTTTCGGAAAGTTAAGTTTTGATCCCTATAATTTTCGGATCACTAGACTTTCAGCTAGGAAATCCGAACAGATGAAAAATTTTTAGGGGAGAAAAATATGCCTATATCTACCGTTTAAATACTAAAATACGTTTAACAATTCTATGTTTAAGTGGTTTTGAACTATATTCTCGTTGGGTGCCCCTGAAAACAGAAAAAGTAAAATTATTATGTTCACGGCCGGGAACTGCCATTCAAAACAGAAAAAGTAAAATTAATATGTTCATGGCCGGGAACTGCCGTTCAAAAAGGAAACCTGAGACTTTTGGCGGGAGACAGTAGTCTTAATTACTGGTTTCTTTCTTTCTTTTTTTTTTGAACGGCAGTTCCCGGCGATTAACATATTAATTTTCCTCTTTCTGTTTTGAATGGCAGTTCCCGGCTGTGAACATATTAATTTTACTTCAACGGGTGTCCTTATCAAGCGGATTCAATTTAGAGAAAATGCAAGGGCTTTCTCCGGGGGCAAAGAAAACTGTCCATAGTAACGAGGTCAGCGAGGTGTCTGACGTATCAAGCGAGTGTCCGCAAAGCGAGGTGCGACTGTAATTGTCAACAGTTGTCATTGGAAGGTTAATAACTAAGCTGTGCATGCACAATTTGGCCTTTGATTTGTTTGATCAGGGGCACCCAACGGCAATTTTCGGGAAAATATCTGTTCGGAAGACGATTTGAGATCTAGAATTTTCGGAGTATTTGTTGTAAAATTTCTTGCTTGCCTGCCTCTTCTAGGATTTTCGAAGATCTACAAAATGGTATAATTACCCATTTTTAACGGATTTTGACCCTAAAAAAGGCCACCTAGAATTTTCGGGAGCCTTTTCCTGGCTGCAAAGTGAGGTAAGTTTTATCCCTATAATTTTCGGACCACTAGTTGATCCGAACAGATGGAGGGTTAAAATATGCCTATATCTACCGTTTGAATACTAAAATATGTTCGACAATGCTATGTTAAGTGGTTTTGAAATATATCCTCGTTGGGTACCCTTGTTTGATCATCTCTGTGCAACGACAACAGCTACAGCCAAGCAATTTGTGACCCCATGAGTCAGGACTTACTGTTTTGAGCGATGAACCATTCTTTCGTTGACTTGGCAATTCCTTATGTCGGGGCTCCATAACGCACTATTTTTAGAGGACTATTTCTCAGGGAGGCTCACTAATACATAGACAGTCCACTTTCCGTCAGGTCCACTTGGCTTTGACTCAAAGCCTTGAAAGCAATATTTAAGACAGCAGAATTAAACCACAAAAAACCGGCTTCCTTATGCGTTCAACAGAGCTACTGGTAGTTGATGATCATGAATTTAACACAGGATAATTTTCTTAGAACAGCATGTTTCACCAGTGTTTCAGACATGGTTGTAATCAGTACAGTCAATCCCCGTTAATACACGGTCACAGAGGGGACCATAGAAAGTGTTTGTATTAAGCGGCTTGAAAAGAGAGGAGAAGTCGTTTTGTCACGTTGCCATAGTAGCAAAAATTTTGCATGACAACAAACCTAAAAGAGGGTCTCAATGGGGTTAACCGATAGGCGTAAAACGGCCAAAAATTTAGTCGATAGCCGTAAAAATTGAAAAATTTTAACCGTTAGCCGTAAATAGGGTAAAAAAGAGTTAATCGTAAAAGAAATTGTTAACTAAATTTGCTACTTTTAAGGAAGGTGCTAAACTCACTTATGGTTGCGTTTTTTATTTCGCCGCTAGTGTGACTCCATACGCACGTTAGGCGAAGCGCCTTTTAGGTGTTAACCTAGACCTACGCTCCATTTCCGGCACTCTCTCGAGGAACTAATTCTTTCCATAGCGAAAGTGTGACTTCTTGCTGAGAATTAATATTTGCAATTTTCTGGAGGTCGTGCCCTCGAAACATTAGTGAAACAACACGCAGAGATGCCACTGTTTGTAAAACACGTTGCCGATAAACAACATTTCCTTGTTTTTCTCTGACGCTACGGTAGACATTATGCCTAGTCCCTGTACGGCGTCTTCCCACGCAATCTCGGTCAAGGCATTTCGGTGGAGAACTAGCTCGGACCACGTGACCCGAGACGCATTAGCCGCGCGGAATAATGTGGCCTACGGACAAGGCAACACTGGACAAGGGAATTTTGTTATTGGCCGTTTTCACACTAAATCTAGAAATGGATCATCCGTCTGAGACTGGCCTGTGTACAGTCGCGCCCTCCCCACAGACACCGCTTCTCCGATTTTTTCAAGGGGGAGGGGACGGCTGGACACAGGCTATGTGGAACGGATAATTCCGTCTTCAAAAGTCAGGCGGATTGTTCATTCAAAATTAAAACTATTCCATTTACAAATTAAGACGTACTACCTATCTGACGCGAATCATCAAACGGATAATCCGTCTCACACGAATAATCCTTCTCTAGTGCGAAAACGGCCATTTCTGTTATAATGAATGTCGCGCCACGGCCTTGAGTTGGGCGTTTGCGTGTCTGCTTTTGCTTTTTCACAAAGATGACTTTTAAATTGACCATTGACATTTCTATGTGTAAAATAATATTAGAAGTGGAATACTTTATAAAAAGTATGATCTATCAAATGTTAAAATTTTCAAAAGAATAGTTTATTTCATCCTGAGATGATCCGTGGCCTTTACTGTTTGATTTAAAGATACAAAAAAATACGTGTTAGTTAATATTTAACTTTTAGAAACAAAAGAAGTTAATTTTTAACTTTTTCGTTAACCGTAACTGAAAAAAATTAACCGATAGCCGTAAAAGAGCCAAAATTTTAGCCGATAACCGTAAAAGCCACCACCCCATTGAGACCCTCCTAAAAAGTTACTTACTACCTTATTTATTCGATTAACCGCCCTGGGCGCTTATTAAATTTTTGGACCTTGAGAGTGAGCGCTTATTCGAGGTGGGCGCTTATTCGAGGCTGGGTGCTTATTAAATTTTCACCATTTTCAGCAGGTGAAGTATGTTTATTTTGCAACAAAACAATAAATGCTAATAACAAAACGCGAAGAAGTAGCAAAGCAAGGTTCCTGTAAAATACTCTGAAGAAAACTCCGTCTTCGGGGAAGTCTCTTATTAGAATTTGTTCACTCAACTGGGTGGGGTGGGGGTGGGGGTGAGCGCTTACTTGAGTTTGATTGGGAGGAGGAAGGGCTGGGCGCTTATTAACTTTTTCTGCCTTTAGGATGGGCGCTTTTTCGAGGTGGGCGCTAATTCGAGGTTAGGCGTTTATTTGAATAAATACGGTATTTTAAACTTTACCGATCTTATTCAATTTCATTTAATTTGTCAAATCTTTGCGAAATTTTCTTTCGGACCGTATCTATCTTTATCTAAGTTAAGAAAAAGAAAACGACAATTTTTGTATGTGTTCACCTACTCCATAAAGCGGGCTCTTCAAAGTAGGAAGTTTCATATCGTAGTGGTGCAACGACGGCAAAGAAATGTACAAAATAGCGTGATGCACGTGCAAAGTTGTTGAATGTTAATATAACATGACATATTATTAGATGCCGATCTCCTTGCCGTCGCCGTCGTCGTTTGTTTTATTGTCATCCTGAAATAGTGCTACCATGGTAACGTGACGTCACATTTAATTTCTCCTCTCTCTTTAGAGAAAATGTAAGGACTCCTATCCCCAGGGACAAAGCAAACTGTCCGTGATAATGAGGTGTCCGTATTTATTGCAGGTATCCGTAAAGCGGGTTTCGACTGTACTGCCGCGCAGACATCATTTTAGGCTAGCTACTGAGAAAGTTACGAAGTTTTCATAAAATGTTTCAACGACACTTAGGGCCAGCTTAGGGCGCTTTCCATTTGTTACAACTGGCCGTCCAGATCATCGCTGGAGCTGTTATTTTGACAATGAAATAGACTTTTCCCAAGAGTTTTTGCTGAAAAACCATCTCTTTCGTGGATAGTATTTAGGATTTGACTGATCTGGTTGGATAGTTTTGATCAAAAGTAAAATTCTCGTTACAACGAGAAGGGTCTGGCCGGTCAGTTCTGACAAATGGAAAGCGCCCTTAGTATGAGCCTAAGGCCTAGGCCAAACGTCGAACTTTTCGTGAGAAAAACTGAACTTAGTGAGTAAAGTTCATGAAAAGTTCGACAACTGGATCAGTTGAGTTCGTCTCACGAGTTTGGATCGTCCAACACGTTCTATCCGTCTGCTTTAGACGGAAGTTGAGTGGCCCGCTAAAATTGCTGTCTGATTCAGTTGATTGAAGACCGACGTCAGACGGGGTTACCTTAATTAATTTTGGAAGATCCAAAATAGAGTTTAATTTGGTTCTTCGCATGAAAACTTCGACGTTAATTGGGTTAGGTTTAAGTTTTCATTTTTTCAGATGGTTGATTTCAAGCGGCTTCCCCTTTTTCGCTGTATAAAATCAGTCCAAGCGACTTCTTGACATATTATTTTTTTGAATTATATGAATAAAATAATAATTAATTAAAAGAACATGATATTTTCACGGAATAAGTGGTGTTGAAATTCAAGAGGAAGAAGACTTATCATGGATTGTTTAAGAATTGAGGTAATACCCTAACACCTCTTTATCGGTACTTGAAATGTGTCGAAATCTAATATCAGAGGTACCCAACGACGGTTTCCTCCTAAATGCATTGAAGAGAGCTGTTCAATACGCTAAAAAAAGGAAACTAATCTTTTTCTTGACTCTGTGACTACAAGCTCTGCTTTTGCAACGTTGATAAGTATGAAGCAGGGAGAGAAAACGCAAAAAATTGTGGCCAAATACATATGTGATCGCTTGCGAGAAAGCGGAGAAAGACGCGTTAATATAACCTTCATTGTCTAATTGTATAAATTCTACAAATGTACACCTCTGTAATTATTGCACTAAACACACGTGTCTGTAGGCGCTCTGTTGATAATAAAGCAGCTATTCTATCCCATCCTATCCTATCCTATTGAAAAATTGTTTTAGGCTATCCAGAGTACTTTTAGATCTCTAGAAATGCATTCTAAGCGGTGCTATAAAATTTGTATCTGTTCGCCAATCGGTCATCCTAGGGGAACTTGAGGCATTTCGAAATTACAAGGGCTTCAGTGTTATTTTCCAGAAATTTTTTTTATGCAAGTGAGAATTTTTCTTTCTCCCTCCATCACATTTTTGAATCTGAAAATTTTAGGTTTCCTTTTTCTACGAAACGTAGCATAACATAAGGAATAAAACATGAAAAATTTAACTTTAGAAAATCGTAGGAAATTGTTTATGTATTCGAAAAATGTACCTGAATGGAACGTTCATCAAGAAATTTTTAGCCATATTCAAGTAATAGAAAATGCTAGGCAATATTTGCTTCTCCGAACAGTTTGTTTTACAGAAAATGGTCGCTGGGTGCCCCTGTAATATTCACAATGAGGTCTTCTTTTTGTCAATTTAAGAAAGCCTTACCCTAAGCAAGGAGTTTATGAAATATGTTCGAAGACTAGTTTATGTAAAATCTTAACACAGCTAACAAACTAATTAATTAATAAGAGAAAAGTAATGCATAAGACGCTCTTTCAATTGCAACGGTGCCTTGGCTAAACACAAAGGGCCGTTGTAAATTTCATAAAACAGTGGTTAATAATGTAAAGGAAAGGGAGAGCCCCTCCCTAAAGAAGCTACCTTTTCATTGTTTAACCTGGTAAACACTTCCTGTAATATAAGCAGCAAAAAACCGCAAATGCTAATTAATACATAGGTGAACGATAAATCATAAATATATTATGCAGAAGACTGGTTTTGTTCGGGATTACATAGGGGAGCAGTGTCAGTTTGCGGAGGTCAGTTTATCATGTTTCCAACTTACAGTACAAGGCTGCGGGCTGGAGACTCCGGTGCAGATCTTACAAAACCGTGACGAATTCTTGCGAGTGGGTCGGACCTACCCAGGTAATCTTATGAGCTCCGGCAGATTAAATTTGAGTAACCAAATGTAATAATTAGATCCGGCCCATGAAAAGTTGGGACCTTAGTCAGTCAATAGTGAGGCACGTTTATCCTGTTATGACAACTGTCCTCATTATTGGTTAAATAGAGATATAAGTAAAATAGTGCTCGTCAATATCAATTTATCAGGTGCAACAGTCTCGCCTTGCTTTCCGTTTCAGTTCCGGTATTAATACAAAGTGTGAAAAATCAATTTTCGTTTAAGGTGAAATAGAGTGAAGAGCACGATTTGGGATCCTATTTAGATAGCTTTTTTAGTATATCACCCTTCACCCCCACAAACTCGTGTTGTTGTCATCGGCTCGTGTCTAAAAGCTGATTTATCAATGTATCCGACAATAAAAATAAACATATTATCGTGAAATGGTTATTTGGAGACGAATTTAGGTTCGAGAAATTATACCTGTTCGTTTGATTGCGAATTCCCTGTTAGCAGAGGTCTCTCGTCGTGAGAGACCTCTCTGCTAGCAGGAAAGATTGCGAAAAGGCTTGTATATAATACAACATTTTAACTACTCTTTTTTCCATCAATGGAATGCCAGTAACTGTATATATTAGTATAGTAATAGACTTGGCACACCTCACTGTTGGTAACCTGAGGGGTGATAGGTCGCAGTTGTTATTGTAACTTATATTTTGTTACTGTGGTAACTGAGTAGAGTTTGCTGATAAAGCAAGTTTTTAACAGCTTGATATTGTAATTTTTCAAGAGGGTTGTTTCGAGAGAACATTATTATAGATGTTCTAGAGTCTATTCCCTTCAATTATAACAAAAAGATGAAATTTGTTTCGCTACATTTCAGCGTTTGATGCATTGTTTAAACCTTACAGGCACACACGGTTAAATTCTTTTAACTTTTCTAAAGCGCCGAATTAGTACCCCAGGCGCCAGAGGAGTATAGGGGGAGACTGGAAAGAACACATTCTTCAAGTTAGCTCACGAAAAGAGAATTGTCTATGCTTCTTAAGGTTTTGCTTTTTAAAATGCTTACTGAAGTTTATCTTGTGAACTCGATGATGAGTGCATCATTCAGTATATGCCACTAAGCTTTTTGTATAGGTTATGGAAGGAGATGAAGGAAAAACCTCTCTTTTTCTTCTCCAGGATCGTTAAGTGCCTGATATCTGTGATATGGCCGGAACCGGATTGCCAATCAGACCTCCCTCCTTTTGCGCACTACTTCCACAAGAACTCTCATACGAGACAGTTGAAGTTGACAAAATTTACATCCCAACGAACGCATTGTTGGTCGCCGAAAGATCGGAAGGCCGTGTTGATAGGAGGGGCAGGGTACGTTTACTTTGGAAGAATCAATGCCCGCCTTGTGTTTTTACTCAAAGCTAGAGGCGAGCCATTTGCAATTATCCAGGCCAGCAAATCACTGAAACCCAAAGCTGGAATCTTTCTCGGGTTCGGGAAATGTCCTCATAGCAGGACGTACGAGATCGGGGACGTGATTGTGGCAGATACGATAGCTCGAAAGAACCCCAAACTTGGAAAACTTGAAAGCCTAGCGTGCAGTGAATGTTTGATCAACGTGTTCAAAAATGGCAAATATGGATGGAAACCGCCCAAGTACCGCAAGCAAGCTGTCCATGTTGGTAAAGTATTTCAGATGGGAGATTTCACAAAGAATGAGAGAGCTATTGCGGTAACTGTGAGAACTTCAAGCTTAGGTGGGTAGTTGTGCTCATAAACCTAGATTTCAATGAGGCTGGAAAATTTTGGTGAAATTCCGCGTCTCTGTCGTCTCTTTTTCTTGCAAAAAACATTCTTTTTATTGGTTTTTATAAAGAAATTGTGAACCAAATCAAAAGACAACGTGAAGTAGACGTAAAAGTGCTTCATCTTATAAAGCTGACATGTTCTTTTCGCAGATATACTTGAATGCTGCAAAGTCCTGGGTAAAGAATGGATCGTACTTGCAGGCATGATTGGCACTCAGCGTTACCATGGAAACACTTCTTGGGAGCAATACGTAGCAGTGGTCTTGAGCTCACTGGTGAATAAGATGCTACAGGATGACCAAGTGTTTGCAATCTTAGGAGGAGAGGGTGGGGAGCCCAGATGACACAGTCCCCTCCCTGGAAACCCTCTGCAAGAAACAGTTTCTCTTAAAAGTAAGCTGGGATTATAAATTGTAAGTGGGTGCCAGCTCAACCTCTTTCCCAGGACCTCGTCTAAGAGGGGAGTCTTTGGGGACAATACCTTGGCGGATCTAGGGGAAGACAAGAATAATATGTCCCTGGCCAAATGTAAGCGGCTAGCATCGAATGAAGTTCTGGCAAATGGGAAACCTCCGAGTCTTGAAACAGGAAGTCAAGCACTCGGTAGGGAACCAAACCGCTTTACTCTACCACCCCTCCGCTCTTTGTCTTCTGGGAATCGCAGGACACCTCTCCAGGATAACCTGACAAGCTGCGCTGCTTCCTCTAGGCGCCACCCTACAGACGCACGGCAGCTGCCTGGAAATAATCAGGATCAAGACAGAGGAGAGGGCAACGGTGAGCAGACAAGGAGCAGTTCTCCCTCCCATAACCCGCCGGCAGAAGAAAAGAGCGTGATGTTTGCAAGCTGAATGTTTCCTACTTTTCTAACAGTTTTAGCGACCTGACTAAATTGTTGAGTGACTTTTAAAAGTCCGTGATGAATACCATAACAGGCCAGCCACAAAACGTGTAGTGGATAAAATGTATCATACAGTTAAAAATTAATCCAGTCGTTTAAATTCGTTAATCGTTGCCATGCCATTACAAGAGTTATCCTGATTTATCGTTTAACTTAGTGAGTCAGTTATGATTAGGATTTGCGCTGGGGGTGGCTTGTCTTGCCCCCCCGGCGACCCCCCACTTTTCGAACGAAATAATTAATTCCTAGAGGGTATATTTGCGCCTGTAAACTACCAGCGATTTCATATGTATTTCATGCGTGGGAATGACGTATCGAGACGTAGAGCTGAGCCAGTTAAAGTTTTATGCACTTTTTTATGCAACCTTGAAAAATTGCTTTCAATAAAATTGCGGCTTAAGTCCCAGCTTAAATTAGTTTTAACATAAGTCACACAAAGGGGCAAAAAAAAAAAGACTCTGTGTAACGGGCGTTAACCCGATTTAAGCCCTAAGACTGATCAGCATCAAATTTATCCTTGTAATATCGATGCTTTGTAAAACAGAGTGGTCATGAGAATTACAGACATGTTAACACAAGATGAATTTGATTGATATTTTATCAACTTCTCCGCACTAATTCTGTAGGAAATGAATAGGGATAACAAATGAGAATTCAAATTTTGATCTTAAGGTTTAAAGGGTGAACGAAGCCATTTTTCTTTGGCTTGTGAACAGAGGCTACTTTTTCTCCATATGAACTGGCGTACGGAAATTAATTAAACTGCTTGTAGCCTCTGCTCTCACAGGTTTAGTGTTTGGGTGACAGACCTCGCGGGAAAAAAAGTGAAATTTGTGATAATCGGTCTGTTCTGATTCCGGGACTGATAGACTTTATCGTTCCTGGAAAACACTACAAATATTATAGTGTTATTGAGTTTTAAGTTGCGAAAAGCGATGACGAGCCGAAACAAAATAATGTATTCTTTCTTTGTTCTTTTTTGTATCAGTTTTGGTCAAGTTATCTGTATCATACACTCTCGCCAGTTTCGTGAATACAAAGGATTTTCATACCTAGGTAGACATTCTAATCGGAAGAAAAAAATTACCATTGCCCACCCTAACTAACAGCCTACAAAATCCCGCCTGCAATCCACTCGCCAATTAGTCAGGCGCTCGAAGTGAATCGGCATGCTGGAAACGAGCGACATGAATTTTAGGCTGTTTCTCGAAATGTGGAAAACGTACTGCATTCAGCTTTCCGGTGATAATATCAATTTGTTCTTTAATTTGCTAGAAGAAATCTGTTAATCGTATGAAAAGATTCTTTTGATATTCTTTTGTTGTTGAGATGTATAGAGACGTCCTCGGACAATCCCCCCATTTGGCTTCTTTTGTACGCACTTTTATCGAGTGGTCCTCCCACTTTTGAAAAACTGCTGGGCGGGCGCCGATTGAGGGATTCTTTTCACTTGTCTCCTGTACAAGGCTATCGACGAGAAAATCATGGTGACCGCCTTCCTGATGATGGATTCAAAAGTGGCTCGATTGTTTTTTCCTCTTTCTTTTTTTGATGGCCAATACCTCCCAAGTTTGAACACTAAATACCTCGCCATTGACAAAGATATGGAAAAACGATTACCACAACTGTATTACACAAAGATGAAAAATTGTTGTAAACAATGTTGTATCCTGACATCTCCTCCAGTGCACGATTGTGGAAAAAACTCTCGACGCCGAGAAATACCGCTGCAAGGAAAATAGATAATGACGTTATTTCGTTGCTATGAAGACTCCTATGTCAACATAATAACTATGTAGAAGGCCCAGTTATCACCCAGTTTAAAAAGTATGATAATTAAACATTTTTAATTCATAAAGTTCATTTTTCTTACTGTATTGACACAATTTTTGGTATTGACATTCGTTGTATATTTGTACATTTCCAAGGCTACTAAAAAATAGATAGTAGACGCAGTAATACGAACTAGTACTCTCTAGTTTCGTTGTTTTTCATTTTTTGACTTGTAACTATTTGGCGCTTATTGTTACATACTGTTTCACTGGTTTAGTGACTAACACATGAGACCTTATTATCACATCTCATGAATTCAACTGACTATCTTATCAACAGTTTCATGACAATTATATTTTCCCATCTCCCCATGCTTTGATTAACTACTCCAATGAATAGTTTAAAATACATGTTATGCCCCATTTACAACAACAAAACGTGTTTAAGTAAACCAGGTTTAAGAATAATGAAAATAGTAACGGAAAACTCGACAGGTTAGTTTATTACAAATTGTATGCGACAGCATTTCAATAATGGAAACTTTATTTGCGTTTTTGAATCTGCAATTGTAAATCTCGCTACGTATAGGCAATAGACCTTTTTACCGATACGGCGGCCATATTGAATTAATTCGATTTAAGGAGTATTACAGGATGCCCAGGGGGCATGCGCACATTTCGTTTGTATTTTCGGGCGCTTTTCAGGACATTTTTTCTTAAAGTTTTCTTAGAATAAGATTTTCATGGGAAAAACGATCCTTGTGCCTTGCTTGGATGTAATAATGATCGCCTTTTTCTAGTTTAGTATTAGAAATATGGTCTTTCACTGTATATTTCTCGGGAAAAAGGCGATCATTGTTACATCCAAACACGGCACAAGGATCTTTTTTTCCATAATAATCTTATTCTAAGAAAACTTTACGAAAAAATGGCCCGAAAAGCGCTCGAAAATACAAACGAAATGTGCTCATGTCCCCTGGGCATCCTATAACACTCCTTAAATCGAATTAATTCAATATGGCCGCCGTATCGGTAAAAACGTTTATTTACAAATGCTGATTGAGATTGGATTATTAAAAAGAAAAAAACAAAAACAAAAACAAAACAAAAACAAAAACAAAACCAAACAAAAGCCGAAAAAAAAAAGAAAAAAAAAGAAATCAAAATTGCATCAAGTCTGGGCTATCCGAGTTCCTATTTCTACAACAAAAGATGTAATCTGTTGCTTTAATGGTTATACTTATCATTTTCTTGATTATATAAAGTTGCTGCTTTTTGTCAATGGCAATGTCATTCACCATGTCTAAGAACGTGGAGCATTCATCGGAGAAAACGCCAAGGGATCTCATGGACAGATTTACAAATCTCACACATCTGTAATTTCTACTTATTTCGTTGATCAAGTTCAGATATTTTTCTTTCTTACGCACTACATTGTTGTTAAGGTTAGACTCGAAACCAGCTGTTAATTCTAGAACATATAGGCACTTGGCCTGGATTAGCAAAAGAAGATCTGGACGATAATTTTCACCAGTTATTATTGAGGGATTCAGAAAACCATTAACAACTGCATAGAGTGAAGAGTGAACATTAATTACAGGTTGAAGTGACTTGGCAATGAAGTTCAGGATTGAGTCGTGTCTCCAGGTAAAGCGATCAAGGTACTGTTGACAACCAGCGACAACATGAAGGAGTGATTCAGGATTAAGGCAAAAGGAGCAATCAGGACTTTGTGATAATCCCCATCTTGCCATATTCTTACGTGTAGAGAGGGAGTTGTTAATGTAGCGGATGGTAAAATTGTAAATGTTCTTGGGTAGATGAGACTGGGCCTCTGACCAAATAGAATTTACAGATGACAATGAGTACTTGATAACATTTGAGAAGAAGAAACCTTGAAATGTTAGGTGGTGTTGCAGTTTATCCTCTTTATTAGAACGGAAATCTTTAAGAACTTCCTAAGTGGATTTGTACACATCATATTGAATATTAGTGTGTCAGCTTGACGATTTCCCGCATTTGCAATTGGTGACTCTTTTAATGAATTTCGGAGAACTGTTTGAGATTAGTAAATTTAAAAGATGGAGGACAAATATTAAGACCAAATTTATTGCGTTCTAGGGAAACATTGCTCAGTGTTCCAGATATCGGAATATCAAGCCATTTTCGAATATAGCCATTCACTACAGAGTCGAGATGTTCCGTTATCCAGGTTTTGAATATATTAGCTATAATGAAATGCCAGGGCAATTTAGATAGGACATAGCGGCTGTACAGCAGAAGTTTGTGTTTTGGATGTGGTGGCTTTATATAATAATAATAACAAAGGGTAACACGAGACAGTACTTTAACTGAATAACTAGTGGCGCTCAAACTAAAATTATAAAACAAAAATTAAGTAACCAAAAATACATATCGTTAAAGAAAAAGAACTATTAATATATATATGAATAAGACTAAAAAGAGTAAAAACTATATTACAATAATAAAATATCCTTACAATGAATATCTACAAACTATAATTACAATACAGCCAGGATGGGTCAAGCGAGAGGAAGGTAAAAATTTTGCATAAGTTATGCATAAGTTTTCATATGTTATGCAAAGTTCGACACGGTTTATTACAAATTGCGATAGGTATTACAAAGTGCGACATGGCTTATTACAAATTGCCATGGTACCTGTGCATGATCTACTTTTAAAGTTCTGAAACACATTTCAAACCATTTCAAATTCCAGCTATAGACCATTAACGAGCTTGACGAAAACTGATATGTATATTTATTTTTTTTTGAATCCCTCATAATACACCGTCTCTGTTGTTCTCAAATTTTGCATAAGTTCTTACCTTCAAAAGCTCTTCAGGAAATATTCAATCCTCCCAATAGTTTATAAAGAAAGGGGTCAAACAGCTAGTGTATTATGGGGAACTCAAGTCAAAGCACAGGGTGCGTCAAAAATTTTCTTATCCACTTGTCCTTCGGACAAGTACTATTTTAAATTTGATTGTCCGAAACCCAAGGGTTCTTGTCCAAAAAGTTTGGCTCAAAACTCAAAAACAATCGGGCATATATTTTACTGCTTATTATCACATAATCAGCCCTTTTGCAGGTAAGTTAACAGGCCTGGTTACTAAGGCCAGGTTCCTAAGCCAAATGGAGGTCGTAAAAAAACAAATGATTGAAATGGCTGTGGAATGGCGAAGTTTTAAAGGAATATTTAGCCTTATTTTGACAAGCATCAGGTTTGCTTTTATGACTATAACATAAATTTTAATTCTACTGTAATTTGAAGTCAACTTTCATCTGTTTCTGTATTTTTTTTCTAATTAAAAATGTGCTTGTCCCACGGACAAGGTATGTCAAAGGTTTACTTGTCCGAACTGTATTTCTACCTGTCCCGGACAATCGGACATAGGCTTTGGCGCACCCTGTTAATAGCATCTTATGTATCTATACTATCGTATTTTCATTGACCCAAATTGAGAAAATCATCATCATCTAAAGCTGAACCTGCGATCACTTACAATCGAAAGTTTTACCCAAAGTACCTTAACGAGCATGAGGAGGAATAGCAGCAGCAGCATTTTGTCTTTGCCGACGTGTAAATAATAACAGGAGAGCTTTCCTGTACTCGGGCATTCTTATTGTGTAAACCACGGGATTAACAAACGAGTTTGTATAAAATAAAAGCAGTAAATACATATTCAATCGCATTATTTTTGTGTACGAAAGTGATCGAATGCTATCAGTTGTATGATAAACAAAGGTAGCTACAGTAAATGGTAGCCACAAGAGTACTGATACAATAGTCATGATGAGTAACGTTAGAGTCAGTTTTCTTTGCCTACGGGCTGCACCATGGTGCTGAGGACGCGCCCCACAACAAATTTTGACAAAAATCGAGGCGTAACAAGCACAGATAACAAAAAGACATAATAAGGAATATGATTGCCATAAATACTGATATTGTGACCATTCTTTGTCGAATACTGATAAAAGCATCATAATTGCAGTTGATATCATTGCAGCTAAAACCCAGACCACACAGATTGTTACCCCGTAGACCCATTTTTTGATAACTCGATGCCTGAATGGACGAAATGTCGCATGCATCCGCTCTAACGAAATTACAGTAATATTTGTAAGAGAAGCAAAAGGAAACCAATAGAAAAGGAACCAAGTTATCATGCGCCCATCCCAATTAAACCTTACATTCAGACTATTTGCATTTTTGCATTCCTTGCTTGGAAAACGTAATAAATGAAGACTGGAAATTACTCCGACTAAAATGTCAGCTACGGTCAAGTTTATAACCAAGTACATGCCACGAGTTCTAAGATCACTGTTTTTTATGAAAAGGATGATTGATAGTAGGTTCACTGTTACTATAGCAATAGAAACGACCAGGACCACGGCAAACCAGGTAATGCACTCAGATGAGGAAAGCATCGTGGATTTCTCTTTTCGCTTCGCTCCTTTTTATTTCCCGTCTTCTTCCAGTTGATCGGCAACCTCTAAAATAATTGAAATAAGGTAAGAAATGTATTTTAGAAGGACCGGTGAAATAGGAACTTTGTCGAGTTCTGTAATAGAGACTAAAAAAGGAGCGTTCACCTCAACCCGACCGACGTTTTTCATATAAAATTAAACTTGAACTCAGCTGTTAGTTTCGTTGACTCATGACTCCAACTAGTAGTTTCCAATGGAAAGTGAAGTGCTGCGAGTAAAGCAATTTGGCATTTCAATTAATTTGAGTCAGTGGCAGCTTATTTCTATTGTTGGTATTCAACTAAACAGTGTTAAATAACTGCGCATGAAAGGCAGCACAACGTGAAGGCGATCGATAAAAACTGCGAAGCCTGGTGGCTTCGCAGCTGCAATAATTTATGACTTTGCGACAACAAATCGTTTCTGTCCAACAGAACTGAAACTGAAAACTTTACGAAAACGACGAAAAATAATTTTGTTACATATAGTAACCACACGGTTATACTTCTAAGAAACTAACCTCTTCATTCAACACTTAAACCTTTTTTTCAACAAAGTTTAATCGGTGTTCAACAAAACTTCGTGGTAAGGACCCTTTATTCATAAGATCCCGGTAAGCTGCATACCGCAATATCTTTTGTAAAATTTGCGATCTGACTGCATGCAAATAGAAGACGGACTATCCTTAACGAGCATTTCATCTCCATTACCAGGACGGACGGGGTGCCCGCGCACGGTAGCCGAGTAAGGTACTTGCTGGGCACTTAATGTGAATATAGTACACCTTTTTTTCAAGTACCCACGCCGTGATTCGGGCACGGCTGTTATTAGTCGTTCTACTTTTACCAAAACATTTGATAAAACAAATAATGTGCAAAGTCCTGACCCAATTTAACTTCCAGAAGTGGTCAAAGTCTATTCGACAATTTGAAAACTTCCGGTCTTTATTTTAAAATAAATTGAACAAAAACAAATCCTGTCAAGTGGAAATACTGCTGAAGAAAATTCATTTGAATGGAAGCCGCCAGATTTCATCAGCATGCAGACTTAAAGTGTGCTTTGTTAGCTTGTTACTAAATGTTCTCGATCTTTTCTGTAACTTTAAATTATCAGGGGTTCAAATTTTCAACGAGACACAGCTCTAGTGAGAACCTGGAACAATCAACCAAGTAGTCAAACGTTTTTGAAGCAAAAAAAAGGAAATCTAAATATAATGCACATTTTTGACGTAAGCATGAAAGCGAGTCCTAGAATACATTTCTAGACATCTAAAAGTACTCTGGATAGCCTAAAAAGCGTTATCAATGTATTTAGGAGGAATCCGTTGTTGGGTGCCCCTGTAAAGATCGTGCTTTGGAAAGTGGTCAGTGGAAAAACTAACCTCCGGCAAAAATCCTTCGGAAATACATGAAGCGTCAAGTCTTTCCTATTATCGGAACGATTATTACAAAGCGCAACAGCGTAGCATTGTGAGAAGTATTTTTTGACGAAGTTTTAGGATGCACTTCTGCCGATTTAACTGCGATGTGGCCCTTAGGCCTCGCTTTATAATTCATGCTTACGTCGTAAGTGTGTATGTAGGAGGTCCAGAGTCCATTGTCTTTTAGATGGTTAGTGTAAGCATCTCTTACAGAAGGAGAAAATTCGCGTGTTTAAAAACCTGTTCAGCAACTAGATAACTTCACGATCCGAGAACTCTGCTGCCCGCTGGAAAATTATTTAAGGGTTTTCTAAGTTTTATCGTAGTTGTCCATATCACGGTTTTTAAATTATACCACCGCTTAATATTTTGTTGGTTTCTCATCGATTTCCCGGCTTACTGGGGTCGTTTCTTACCTTCACTCACAAGTCCTGTCATGGCTGACTGATCTGAAAACGAAGCCAACTTCAGTTTGCGACAGGCATATGAAGTCAAGGAAGTCTGTGTTTGATTCAGAAGTTCCTCTGGAATAGCACCGTTTCAGTGCAAAATCCACACCCCCATTTGCTGAAATTTTTTTAAAAAAAATCCTTTGCTCAACTCCAGCCACTGGTTTCCTTTTCTTTATATTGTCACCCTTTGAATAGGTAGCACAGAATTAAGTTAATGATGCGGGCGGTTGAGGGATAAACTGTTTGAAACCGATTAAATTAATTTCTAAGATGAAGGCGCCTGACGGGTTTCTCTTCCTGATTCCGGCATTAGACCATTCCTTGCTTGCACCTGTGTTTTCGATGTGTAGGTCTGTTAATAATGTTATATAAACAGTTTCTAAAGTAGTCTGAAATGTACATTTGCTCCCTTCCAATAATGCATGTGGGAAAATACGTAATAGAAAAGAACAGATCATGTTTGAAAAAACATAATTATTTGGCCGGTCAAAAATGGCCTGTGACTTCCCGAGTTGTACGGATCAGTTTACAGCTGTTTTTTTTTTCTTTAATATACTATTTCAGAAACAGTTTTTCTGTACTCAGCAATTGAGAGATGTATAGTGGCCGCGAAGTGCCATTCGTCAAAACGACATAAATTTGTTAATTTTAGATTCAACTTTGATTATTTTGTATTGAAAATAAAGCGAAAGTAAAACGTCAAATTATTTAGTTTTTCATTGAACTGGAAATAGATTCATTTCGTTAATTTTCAAAACAAAACAAAATATTTTTATTATGAAATGAAAATAAAAATAAAAGTTAAATAAAAGCAGAAGTAAAACTAATTTGTTCACGGCCGAGGAACAGCTATTCAAAACAGAAAAAGTAAAATTATTATGTTCACGGCCATTAAAAACAGGAAAAGTAAAACTAGTATGTTCATGGCCGGTAACTGCCATTCAAAACAGAAAAAGTAAAATTAATATGTTCATGGCCGAGAACTGCCGTTCAAAAAAGAAAAAGAGAAACCTGAGACTTTTGGCGGGAGACAGTAGTCTTCTTTTTTTTGGAACGGAAGTTCCCGGCCATGAACATATTAATTCCGGCTTTTTCTGTTTTGAAGGGCAGTTCCCGGCTATGAGCATACTAATTTTACTTTTTCTGTTTTGAATGGCAGTTCCCGGTCGTGAACATATTAATTTTACTTCTTCTTTTATTTCACTTTTATTTTTATTTTCATTTCATAATAAAAATGTTTTGTTTTGTTTTGTGTTGAAAATAAACAAAAAAGAATCTATTGCCAGTTCAATGGAAAAGCAATTAATTTTGCGTTTTTCTTTTACTTCAATTTCAATTCAAAATAATTAAAGTTTAATCTAAAATTAACAAATTTATGTCGTTTTGACGAATGACAGTTGTCGGCCACCAAACAGATGATTACCAATAACCTTATATCATTTAGAGATCCGGTAGCTGAAAAGGTGGCTCGACTGGATTTTTCGGGGAAGATACTCCCCAAGTTTGAGCATTAACTACGTCGGCATGAGTAAAGATATGAAAAAAAGGTTACCACAACTTTTTTTTGCCCTCGTCCCAATTTTCTCGACGAACTCGCGAGGAACCGCTTGCTACACAGGCTATTTTCCTCGTGGTTTGCCGTCATCCTCCACCCTGCATGATCACGCCGATGACCAGAATGTGACAGCGACGTGGATTGTAGACGTTAACGCCGGCGCCAGCAAACGGTCTTCCTAAACCAAGAAGAACCAGCACTGGTGTGTTTGCAGGCCTTCCATTCAAGCTCTTTAATAAGGCATCTTGGTTCTGTGCTTTCACAGGAAAGTCAAACACCTGAAAGATCCAACATCTCGTCGCAGACATGTTAAAGGGATTTTTGAACATCATGATATCACTCAGATTGCATTGAAGAATCCCAACTGAAGGGCATTCCGTCCCTTCAATGATGTACTTTCCTTCATGAATAACTCCGGGAGCAAAAACGTTAAAAACTGACCTCACAGACGGACCAAATAGCATATTGTACATTTCACTTTTAGTATATCGCACAGGCACAGGGCGAGTACCAACAGTGTTGACTGGAACAGGATTAATTTGAACAATGGTGTCTTCACTTTTGTTTGGCCAGATTGCTTTACTGGGATTTGAATCGAGAATCACAAACCAGTATACTTGGCCAACTTTAAAAGTCCCAAAGATCCAACTGTTTGTTACCAAGTTTGTTATGGGTCGGATGAGCCCTTGTTCTTGAACACTCCAAGCAATCACACATTCGTGATTATTTTGCATAAGTGTTGATGCAACCACAACTAGTTGAAGGCGCCTCTGAGGTCCTATATGGAGACTGTCCAACGTTTCTGCGAGTTCTGCCATAATTCGGCGTCATTCAGCAGCCAAAAGCGGCCCCCAACACGCTTAAGGCCTTTTAACTAACACTTTAAAGGACTCATTTAATAAGTTCCCAGTAAAGCTTTAATTCCTGCATCTTTTTCTGAGAAAAGGTATTGTTAAAAATTTTTCTCGGAAAAACAGGAAGTTATACTGGGAACTAACCCATGAAATGAGTCATCAATATACCTATTCACCTCTCTAGGAACCGCCCGTGAGTATAGGCCGCCGGATCCTTCTACTGCTGTGACGTCATCTGTTTGAACGGTCATACCCCCTCTGCACTTCATTCCAGCCGATCCTACGATTCTAAACATTCCCCCAAAATCGAGTTTCCACCGAAATAGAGCCCACTTAATGTCCAGCAAAAGGAAAAACATGGACAAAGAAAAGTTAAAGGAGAGGGGAGCAGTGAAAGCGAAATATAATATTTCTTACTGCGAATGCCTAAACTTCGGAAGCTGATGTTAAGTATGTTAGTATTATTTTGATATTAAGTATGAGAAACAGAAGAGCGCAAAGTACTCGACTTATAAATAGCGTTTGGGGCAGTTTTTATTTGTTTTGATCAGACAGGACCAGATCGTCTACAGACTCGAACTGCCGGGCTAGATTAAAATACCTTACAATACTTCCAGGCCATTCGCGTGGAAGTTTTTGAAGGTTTAAATGAACTTAATTGACTGCTATTTTATTTTCTCAAGCTATATTACGTCATATGACAGTTGCACGATATCAGCCAACTATAAAAAAAAAAACTGTCTCCCTCATTTTTTAATTTTATTTTGCGGAGGGGGATGGAAGAGGAGGAGGCACACAACCTGGCGTGAACATGACCCTGTCCTGGTGACCATGCAGCAGATGCCTTCGTGTTGCACCACTGTGTATTGTACAGCTCAAGTAACGTTTAGTATATGGAAAGGAGCTATGGACAATTCTCTATCACTGGGAGCAGACCAATTTGTTAAGTTTCAACAGGCTGTTACAACTGCGACGGTCATATCTTCATCAATATTTGCCGAGCTCCCAACAGCTTTAGCTACAGTGGAACCTCGATTTACCGGTAACAGAGTAACAAGGTAACAAGGAAACAGAGTAACAAGGTACCGTTAAATGCCGAAAATAAGCCCCTCCATGTACAATTGCCCTCAAGTACAAAGTAAAACAAAGCAAAAACGGTAAATTTACTTTCAACTATAAGGCTAGCCCAATCGATTTTGAAACGCAAATTTCCCTCCGTAGATAAGCCCCTCCGAATATAAGCCCCTCCAAAAATAAGCCCCTCAAAAACGGCCTTTGAAAAATACAAGCCCCGGGGTTTATTTTCGGAATTTTACGGTAACAGAGTAATAAGGGAAAGGCAACAAGGTAGTAACAAGGAACCAATCAGAAACCAAGCAAAAAAAGAAGTGAAGATATAACTAATGAAAGTAAAGTTAGCCTGTGAACAGGCTCTCTGTTTGGGGAAAAATAGCGAGGAAAGGGAAGGGAAAGGGTTTTTCCCTCTCCCCACCCCGCTCGACTAAAGGCCTGTTCACAGGCTAAAGTAAAGTCGGTACAATATATGTCTCCATACATCAAGTACCTACCCCCTTAACATGTAAGACCGCAAAGCGATCATCATGACACCTGACAGTATTGCACAACCCGCTTGACATTAACCTCTTACATTAACCTTGGCTTAAATTAGCTATGTTTGAAGTTAGCCTCTTGCCCCGTGGTTCCTTCCAAATTCTTGGATTCTTCGTATGTTTTCGAGTCCTGCATTACTTTGTGTGTCGTTTTGGATCACTTCCTACTTCGATCGCCTCGGCTCCCCCGAAAAAGATATGGATTTACAGGAATATCGTCATTTCTTTTATCCATGCTTGCATTGCAGCTTTCTTGTCATTGTACAGGTAGGATATTGCGAATAACTGGAATATATAGAATAGGATAGAACTCACTCTGTTGCCCAAGGCCTGTTGTGCGTTAAATTGACCGTTAATGTATCTATGGTCACACGATCACGCTCGCACATGCACAATCGACATGCACAATCGAATCTTTGATTCGTACAGTATCAAATTTCCTCAGAATCCTAGTAGCACCTATTTTCCCACATTCTCTTTATTTTAATATATCAGTAAACGTTCAATGTCACCTTTATTACGTGTAATGAGAAAATAGTAATATAATAGGCTGAAACGGTACTGTCCTGCAGTTAAATTTAATGTAAGTGTTAATGATAATAATGGTCACAGTTATAACAATGGTAATAATAAAAATATCACTGCTGTTGCTGTAACATTGGAAGTTACTGTTCAATTTCTTTACCAAACACAGCATGGATGCTTTCAAATCGGCACCTAGTTGTTTGCCTTTGTACCACTCACTGAGTTTTTATCCCCTTGTGTGTTATTTATTTATTTAGTTATTTTTATTTAAGTTTAATTATTATTTTTTTATTTTATCAATTTTTTATATATGTATTTTTTTAGCATTCAAAGTGATTCAAAACCTTCGTGAATGAACTAAGTATATGGTTGTAAATAAATTGTAAGCTAAAAGTACTTGTTTCATGGAACCAGCTTGTAGAGTTGGGGAAATGGGAAAACAGTAGTAAAAAGAAAAAGAATGAGAAATAAGTCAGATAATAACATTATTTTGCTGGGACTTGCACCCAATTTAATGACCAGCTTGCAGTTGGTTTGGTTAGTGTGGCGCTGCACTGATATCGCATATAGGACTCAGTGTTTGAATCCTGGCAATCCTGAATTTTTCACACTTTCTTTTTGCAACTGCATAAGTTGCTTCTGTAACTGCAACAAATGATCTTCTTTGCATTTAGCTTTTGTGTCTGACAAAAACCCTTTAAAGGGTAGGATTGCACGTGCAGCTGACTATTATACTGCTCTCCTTTTGATTACTTGCCCCCACTTTTGAAGGCAGGGCCTGGGATGGATCCAGGATTTAGTGGAGAGAGGTTAGGATAAATTTTCCCAAAAAGAGTACTGTCCTAGGAGGTTCGAGGTGCATGCTCCCCCCGGGAAAATTTTGACATCCAGGTCCTCAGAATGGTGATTTCCTGCATTTTAAAGGATATTAAAATACCCCTTTAGCTATTTTAAACATGAACTACTCTTAAAAATTTACAGTAATTGAGACCAATAATGAAAATAAATAAGTAACGGTTATAAATTTGTATATACTATGTGCTCTAAAAATCACTCTTGATTTTCTTCAAAAATGGAATCAACAGGGCATTTGAAACCAGGAAAGGACTCTCCTTTGTCAATCTTTTTTTCTTTTCATCACAGTTATTTTTCAAAAGATAACATATAGTATTTGTTAGCGATATATGTCCACCAAAGGTTTTCATCAGAAACTGCAAGTGTTTGAACGTTTTCATTTTGGTTTAGGGGGTTCAAAAGAACCACCCGAACCACCCCTGGATCCGCCCCAGGACCAGAGGGCTGGCCCATCTTAAGTAATTTGATTATTGCAGGCTTATGCAGTGACAAACATCTTTGCACCTTATGCAAAGATTTGTGTGTGTCGTTATAAACCCTATGGGCCAAGTATTTAAATGAAGTCTAACTTAAGCCGCGGTTTAACAAATCTTTGAACCTCCAGATCTCAGTCGTTGGTGGGTTGTTTTAAGAAGCTAAAAGTTTGTCTAGTCTTCTCTCTATACTTTCATAAAACTCTTCACAATAAATGATGTTTAGGTAAAATTGTTGGGCAAATTGAAAATGACTTAGAACGCGGTTTTGTTAAACTCTGGCTAAACTACGTTTAAATATTTGGCCCTATACTTTTAAATTAATGTTGTTTGCTTGTAGAAATCCACCAAATTTCAGTTGATATGAAAACTTACTTTGCTATCAGGGATCTCTAAGGTTCATTTTCTAGTGGTTGATATCTCATGTTTTATTAAAGTAACCTTTTTAAATACTTCTTTATGCACACCAGCTTCTTTGATGAGCCAGCCATGCTGACAGACATGATCAAAACATGGAGCAGTACATCTTTTATTTTGGTATCAATGTCCACTGGTATGTTGTATATAATGTACATCAGTCATCAAACGCAAGAGCACAGTAATGACAACCATCTGGGTGTCAGTGATTGACATTTATCGCCTAATGTAACATTTAACAATTTTTCCACAAGTGCACATTGGATATGAGTTGGCTATAATCATCTCATATCCAACAAGTGTGAGTGGACTAATTGTTTTTTTAAAAACGCCCACAAAATATCGAGAATTCTTCCCAACTTTATTTGTAAAAACAACCAATTTTCAGCTTGTTTTAATTTTGACCAGACCTGTACAGTTACCATATTTGGAGAGCATGGTGTAATGGCTCATACACCATGATGGCTAAGCCAATCAGAGCTCTAGAATTACATTATCCAATGATTCAGTTTTTAATAATAACAATTATCTTCCGTTCTTGGATAAGGATGTAAGACCACCTGCCTCATCTTACATGCAACACTCCCTCACTATTCTGATTCTTGTGGTACATAAAAGAAACCACACTGCTGTTCGTAAAGAGCAGGGGACTGAATCCTCAGTAGTGTGGTCAATGTTAGAACAAAAACAAAAAAATATTTTTGCCTCTTTATGAAGTGCATGACTATTGCTTCAGCAGATCCACATCTTGCAACCTTATTGTACATAACAATCTTTTTATGACCTGCTCTATAGATAAAAAAAATGATGTTGACAGTGTACTGCCCTTTTACGCTCTGCCACACTTAATGACCAGTTGAACACATGATAAAGTAAAGATAACTAAGCCAAGACATGATAAACATTTGAGGCGCGATAGACCTTTGTTCCTTCATGTGAACAAAACCACCAAATCAAGGCTTACAAGGGGTGATAAGTTACAGTGACTATATCATAAAGCCAAAAACATAACATATTATTGAGGAGCAATAGACTTTTACAGCATTACTGTGAGCAACAGCACCACCTCAAGTTTTCATGGGCTGATCAAATACAGTGTCTAGTTTCACATAGTTTAGTTCATCTAGACCTAAGCCTTGACCTTGTTTCATTTTGTGTCGTTAATGGAGTAGAATGGGCGAAAGGTCTGTTAAGTTGATTAAAAAAATGTGTGCCTGAAGAAATTGAGTTCATTTATTTCCTTATGTTATAAGCAGCAAACTATGTCTACATTTCATCTTTGATACTGTATTGCTGTGCTGTACCACTTGACAATAATAACAAGACGGTTCATGGTGTAGCATGAAGCGAAGGGACCGTGAATGACCTCATGTTCATGGTGATGAAGTTGTATGGTCTTTACAAACAGTCTGATATTGCCACAGTATTAAATTCCTTTTTTCTCCTTTCATTTCAGGCTATTTTCTCCACGATTTCTTTGATATGCTTGTTTATGATGCCAGGGATTCAATTGACCTTCTCATTCACCATATTGTGGTACAGTTATTAATAGATTTCAGTTATTATTTTTCAAGTCATCTTTTGTTGATTAAATAACACTGTTTCTTGGCTGTCGGGACCAGAAGGATTAGTTTCTGCAGGCTCTTATCTGACGACCATATAACATGCTTTGTACTATTTAGAGCAAAGTTGCTTGTGCATGCATTTGGTAGCAATGGTATGGTGTTAAGGTTAGAGCACTCACCGCCCACCATTGTCAGAGCTGCAAATAACAATGGTCAACAATATTGGCCATCTAATAATGCACTTGAGTTTGAACATTTGGCTTTATTTCTATGGTTTGTTAGACTGTAGACCTTTCAGGATTGTTTTCTATTAGTTAATTAAACTACTGCCTTTTTTCTTTCTTTCTTTCTTTCTTTCTACCTTTTTCTTCTTTTTCCTATCACTACTGAGTTATCAAAGAGAGCCCCTCTGCTAGCAAGGATCATAATTATACTGCGGTGAAACTGTTCAACAACACCCAATGTCTGGAGATAAGGGATCCTTAATAGCAGCGAACGGCAGCGAAAACATCGCTTAAAAAAAGAATTCAAGTTCTTTCAATCTTCGTTGCGATTATTTCAAATCACTTACCTTGTGTGAAAGGTCTGAACCCAGGGGTCATTTCATAAGTAGGTTGAGTACGATCGTCCGGGTCAACGTAGTCCTGAATAGGACTGTTGTTGTTGACAGTAACTGACGTTTCGACAACCTGTGCGGTGGTCATCTGCAGAGTCAAACTGAGTTGTATCATTTCAGTTGATGGTATTAAACTCTGATTATTGACCTGATTGGTCAATTAAGTCGCGATGTTATTGACCGTCTCAGTAAAGCCGTGATGTTCGTAATGTCATTGGTGCGTTTCTGTCCGTCTGTTGTCACTGTTTAACAGTCGTTTATTGTTAGTCAAATTGTCAGTTGTTCAGTCGTTCTCTCGTTGTTAGTTTTGCTTAATTCCGTCAATAGGGACCTTACGATCCGACAACGGCGACGCCAATGAAAACGTCGCTGAAAAATAAACTTTTTTGCCCTTATACCAAGTCACTTGAAAGTAGGAAAGTTAGGTTGGAACTGAAGAGAGGGGATCGCGTCCGAGTTCAGAGAGGAGAGTAAAATTTATCGCCTCGCCGATCCCTTGCTCACGTCAACTCAAAATTCGGTCATTTCAAGTTGTAGTTGTGCCTTGTGTCCAAGGCATAAGGATAGAAGCCATAGGCCTTCAATTTTGCGAGCTAAAGGCGGTGGTTTATGGCGTCAAACGCGAGAGCTTTGCTCAAGTCCACAGCGACCGCAGCTACAGCTTCCCTGTTATCAATACTGTTCCTCCAATCTTTGGTCATTTTTAGCTATGCAGAGCAGCAAGAATTGGTTTTCGTAAGTCCAGATAAGTTTGAGGACAAAACGGTATGAAATGCATTCCAAGTTTGGTCGTCAATAACTTTCTCAAACACCTTCGATAGCGAAGTTAACATTGAGACAGGGTGGTAGTTTGCTTTGTCTTTGTCAATGCCCCGTTTAAAGACAGGAGTGAGGCGCGCTTGCTTCCATTCAGACGGCAATGAGCGATTCAGAATACAGAAGTTGATCAACTTAGTCACCTCTTCGGTAAGAACTAGGGATCCCAAACGCAAGATTCGTGGTGAAGTGCCGTCTACCCCAGCTGCCTTTCTCGGATTAAGGTGGTCCAGAATGTTGTAGATATGTGACGTACTGTCTGGGGAGTAGTTAAACTCGCTTGAGAAACGTCGATTGCTTATTGCCGTAATACTAGGATGGTCAGTGTCAGATCTATGCTCTAACTGAACAATATTGGCAAAGTAATCACTGAAGACTTGAAGGCTACACACCCAGGTTCGGAAAAAAACACTACTACCGTCAACGAGGATGACGCCTTGTACGTCTTTACCAGAACTAGTTAGCAAAAGGGGCTTAATTTTTCCCAAAAATTCGCCCCAATGTTTAGGAAGCGTCACTGCAGAACGTTTTCAAAGCGTTGCGCTTTAGCGATGTAATTTAACTTCAAATTAGGAAGTTTCACGTCGTAGTCCGGCGTGCAGGGATGGCAAGGAAATGTACCAAAAAGCGTGTTTGTTTTGCTGATTAGACTTATTGGTTTTCATGTTCTCGTTGCAGTCGCCGTTGTCGTTGCTAACCCCCCTAATCAGGGGCACCCAACGACAATTTTTGGAAAACATCTGTTCGGAAGACGATTTGAGATCTAGAATTTTCGGAACATTCGTTGTAAATTCTTGCTTGCCTGCCTCTCCTAGGATTTTCGAACTCCCCAAAAATGGTATAATTGCCTATTTTTAACGGATTTTTACGCTAAAAAGGTCACCTAGAATTTTCGGGAGCCTTTTTTCTGGCTGAAATTTTCGAAAAGGTAAGTTTTGATCCCTATAATTTTCGGATCACTAGACTTTCAGCTGGGAAATCCGAACAGATGAAATATTTTTAGGGGATAAAAGTATGCCTATATCTACCGTTTAAATACTAAAATACGTTCAACAATGCTATGTTTAAGTGCTTTTGAACTATATTCTCGTTGGGTGCCCCTGCCTAATATTATTTAGGCACCCCGGTTCTGCTGTTGACGTGGCATAGAACTTCCGTAACATGTGATTTCTTTTTTAGGTATGTAGTGCCTTTTGTATTGCAATCTTCTGCAAGATGTACTTGGGGTTTGCAGTATGTGCTTTATTGATGGAAGTGAGCAGCGTCTTCCTGCATTTCAGAAGATTAATGTGCCTTCGTGGAGTGAGCAAGAACAGTCTGTTATACCAAGTTAATGGCATATTCCTGTTAATAACTTTTATCAACTTTAGATTTCTCACCTCTGCTTGGATGACAAATTTTTGCATCAAACGCCACAATACATTGCCATTTTCCCATTTTTTATTTTCTGTAGTTGGCATGGCAGTTATGACAGCACTCAACGTAAAACTTTTTGTGGCACTATGGCAAGCGGATTTTAAGTCAGGCCAGACTAAGAAAGTGGATGATTAGATGCCAGCTGCTTTCGGGTAATGCGTCTGTTGTTGAAAATAAGTTAGCCTTAATTCGTGGCTGGCGTTTGTGGGGAAAAGAAAGGGACAGTTAAGGCGTGGCTGGCGTTTGTGGGGAAAAGAAAGGGACAGTTAAGGCGTGGCTGGCGTTTGTGGGGAAAAGAAAGGGACAGTTAAGGCGTGGCTGGCGTTTGTGGGGAAAAGAAAGGGACAGTTAAGGCGTGGCTGGCGTTTGTGGGGAAAAGAAAGGGACAGTTAAGGCGTGGCTGGCGTTTGTGGGGAAAAGAAACGGGACAGTTGAGGCGTTGCTGGCGTTTGTGGGGAAAAGAAAGCGACAGTTAAGGCGCGCTCCCATGGCGTTCTTTGGCAGGGAAACGAGGTTGTACGGGTTTTAGCGAAAATGTCCTGTCGACGGTAACAAGGTGTGAAATGTTAGAAGATTTATCATATTGCACTCGGGAGAGGGCTTTACCACTTTCAATACAAATAACTTTGTTAAAAGATAAAATTAGTATAGGTAATAACTTGATTTGTAGTGATATTTGGCATAAATACGCCGGGTGATATTTCTGGCAAAATTGTTATACGTAATTTCACGAGGCGTTAGGCGAGTGAAATTTAAGACAATTTTGGAATATCACGAGTGGTGTTTATGCCAAATATTACTATTATTTGTTTATACTACTACCCGGGTTTGTAATTTTCACATGTAGGTATTTCAAATTAAGCTGAAAGACCACTGCTATGAGCCAATCAAATTGCAGAAATTTCTCATGTAGTAGTATACTGGTTAAATTACTGGTTAGAAAGTAAAATTACGTCCTTTCGCCCTTTCCCTGCTCCAGCCTTCAAACGCCAGTCACACAGGCTAAAGATTACTGGACAGTTGAACCTCTCTACTGCACAACGGCCACCTTAGGGACAGAAGAAAGTGGCCCTTGTAAAGAGGTGGCTGTTATAAGAGAGGTTTTAACCAAGAGTCAATGAACGAATTTTTTGTCGGCCTGGACGAAAAAAGTGGCCGTTGTAGAGAGGTGCCGTTAGCGGAGGTTCGACTGTAGTATTTTGTGATGCGGAAATAGAGCCGAGATACCTTAAATGATCTAATAGACCTCCGGGGCGTTAACCCTTTAAAAGTCCCAATGGTGACCAACATCAATTTTGTCCTAACAATATCCACATTGTCAAGAGATTAGACTATGAGAAAATGCTTTGATCTTTTATCAAATTTCCTCAACACATTCTTTAAGGAAATATATAGAGATCAATTTGGTGAATATTTATGTGTATGTTGGGCTTAAAGGGTTAATTTTGATTTTTTTAGGGTCCAAGATGGGGCGTTAAAGAGATAGCAGGCGTTTAAAAAGAGAGGCATTCATTCTCATAACTGTAACAAGCTCGACAAAACTAATATGCTTTGGAGCGAAAATATCGGCAAAGGTTATAAACAGCAGAATATCCACCATTGATACGTGCAGATATCCATATCGTTCTTTCAAATCTCAAAGAAGTAACTTCTAGCTGGGTATCCTCGTTCAATGTCACTTTGTTTTCACTGTTAGCCCATCCTTTATACTTTGAACTTGACATTGAATAAGATACAATGCACAAAAACCCTTGTTAATCAAGGAAGAAACTGAACAGCTTGAATGATTTTAATCCTTTTTGCTATTTCCTAGTATTTTGGAGTAATTGCCATGGGGGCGTCTATTAGGCAGGGGGCGTTTATTATAGAGGGGCATCTAATACAACCTTAACATCGTAGGAGGGCGTTAATTAGACAAGAGGCGTTTATTTGAGAGTGGGCGTCTATAGAGCGTTTTCACTCACGTGACCAGCATCCACGCAAATTTATGGGAACCAAAGAAGGCGTTTACATAAGAAAAGAGATCAACTCCCACAGGACTGGTTTGGAACACCAATATGGCCGCCCTGACGTCATGTGAAAACGCTCTATTGGATCATTTACGGTTATCATTTCATCAGGTCTACACTGCATATTGTTTATTCACATTGAAAAATTATTTTAATTTATTGTTGATCCAGGACGGTGTTATCGCCGTTGATAATATCCTCTGAGTTCTGCGTAATTTTTCATTTCATACGAAAGCCCGAATACAATATTTGTTTCATAACTCACTCAAAATATTTCTAAGCTCTTAACATAGACTTTAATTTCTTCAAAACATTTGTCTGTTTCTTGGCAAAGTTTCAGAATATGACAAGATGTTTTATCCTTACAGTTACGCTTCAAAAACCAGATTGCATCCATCGAGCAATATTTTCTTTGCCTAATCTTGTATTTCGTCTTTGGATAGCCATGACTGAATTCTCGCCATTTTCTTGAGTTGTGCACTCGTGCCAAAAACGGCGCGCAAATCTGCCGCGCCGTTGCCTGGAAATGTCGTTGCGATTTATATTACTGACAATATATTATCGTATCGATTGTATTTTGCCCCATTTTCCATATTTGTTCGGCGCCATCTGGTTGCAAAAAAACGGCGAAAAGTTTTGAAAGAAGAATAATAGGTATTAGAATAATGATGACAATATTGATGATAATTTATTACTTCTATGGTGCAAGTTTATATTGTACATGGTCAAATGCTTGTTATCGCCAATGTATTTAAGTATGACTTCTGAAAAAGTTCAATTTATTAAAAGAAAAATCCAACGTTATTAAATGATGTATCCTTGTAAAAGTAAAATGTCTTAAATGAGAACCTTAAACTATATTACAGTACTTTTAGTTTTAAATTCTATAGTCGATCGATGTGTCTTCCATAAAGTTTTTTTTTAAAGTAACAGGATTATTTTCTGTTCTGGTACTGGCTTTATTGTGCCATGAATCTCATCGGATTCGAGCTGGGGCCCACGCATGTGACATTTGTATCACCTGCTGCTGTCCTTTTAAATATTTACCCCTCCCAGAGATAACAAAACTGAGATGAAGTCTAGGGGCGTCGGCCGGGATATCTTAAGGGTGTGTTTCGGTGAATCCAAAAACGGATTTTAGATCTTAAAACGGATTTCGCGTTCCTTTCGGCAAATCCAATTCCGGATTTTTGATCCGGTGAACATTGGATTTGAAATCCAAAGAATCCAAACCCAGATTAACGGAGTGCCAGTGGTATTTCCAGTTGAAATTTACCCGTTGAGTTTCCTCGTTGCTGGCCATTTGCCGTAAAACATCTGAAAGCACTGGGAGATTGTTCCTGCTACAGTAAATTATCCATGTACTAACCATTTGTCGCTGGGCAAATGAACTGCTATCTTTCTGAAAACTCGCTTGTAGACGCACGTAATAGGCACTCTATCGTGTTACATAAAAGAATCTGTGCTAAGAAACAGAGCCGACAACGGCTTTAGACAATTTTCAACTTTAACGCGCTTCTTTTTTGATCTGTTTATGCTCCATCGTCACTATTCGAATTGCCGACCACAAAATTCTGCACCGTATAATCGCATAATTTGTCAAACAGTAATAAATTAAGCGTTTCCATTTTGTCGTCATTTCATTTTGAGGCTTTGTTTCTCCAGCAAAATATATTGTACGCTCTTACACAAAAACGCAATAGCAAAAAAAGGTCAGAATAACTCTTGGGAAAGACAAATTAAAAACCGTCTTAAATTTACGAAACAAATCTAGGATCTGGAAAAATCCGTTTTTTGGAATCGCGTGAAACAAAATAAAATGACAAAATACAATTATAAAAACCCTGTACTTTCATAAAAAAGGGTGGAACTTGTTTTTGCAGACTATACGGACCAGGTGTGGTCACGATGTTAGCATATTTAAGTGAATACTTCATGGCTATGTAACGCTCAGTACTCACTATTGCTAAAATCAGCAACGATTCAAGACATGGAATAAAAATAATGCAAAATATATGTCTGAGGAAGTAACAATAATGCACCAGCGATGCACGCGACAGAAAGTAGATTTCTTGTGCGGTGAATAACGGCTGTGAAACTACACCCACCGCCAGATCTGTTCCTGCCAAACAGGGCAAGATCCTAAGTTCAGGGCGATGGAAAACTAGGCGAGAGTGTTCACCAAAACATACTTTTCTTCTCTGCCGCGGCAACTAATTGATAGATTAAGTGCAGAGTTGCTGACATTCATCTCTTGTTTTAGTTGAGGAAATCTCACAGTCTGAAGCACGGTCGACAGCGTGTAACAAGAGTGAATCTACTCTAAACACGGATCTGGTTATGGTTGAGTCGATACTTCATGTCCTTTTGACGGCTTACGCTTTCAGAGCTGATTGGGCTAGAATTAAATCCTCATCATTTTTATTGCCTTTTTGCACATTTGAATTACAATGATATTTTTCTAACAAAGAAAGTTGAATGCGACTTTCAAGTGATTAACAAAACAGACGTCTTTTTTGAAGTACGAATTTCATAAAACTGAAAGGGGAGCGCTGTATTTGATAAGTGCTTGAAAACATTACTTTGAATAAACAAGCCTATACTAGTTATTAAGGGCAAAACTCGGGGATTCATCACCTTTGAAACGGAAGTTCTCGAGACCAATGTATTCTTCTCGATATAGTCTTCGGTTTATCTCTACCTGTCCATACAACAATCCCTTTATCTATACATCTCCCATCATTTTAAATAAGAGCTTAATAAAATGGTAGTGAAGCACATAATCTTCTCTGAATATTGGGCCATTTACAGTTAAACAGTTTAAGCAGTTAAACCTCCTCAGCGAAGTGCTTCAATCGGTCAATGTGATGCCTTGATTCTGAACCAGTTATGACATAGATAATCTATGGCAATACATGGTACGTACATGGAAAAAGCAATAAAATCAGGACTTGAAATGTAAAAAAAGGCATGAAATACTTTAAATAATTCTTTTAGGAAATAAATATACCACTTAATGCATGTTTTTCCTTTTCATGCAGTGAACAAAAATCTGGATAAGGCTCATCACTGAATCCTTCCAAATCATGCATATATTACCGCCAAGACCATGCAAAAATGGCCTCTCCGAACAAGTCAAGATCTGCAAAAGTAAATGCAATTCCTTCGTATTTGTAGCCTTTATCTCGGGTTTTCGAGAACAGCCACTCCAGATCTTTGTTCGACATTTTTTATCAAAGTGATGGAAACAAGAATGAGTTTGCAAGCGACTACGTTTTGTCTTAACTTTGCTGTTATGGATTCTCTTTCCTTATGATAACATTTTCAAATCAGTGTGACTGAATCGGGTAGTAACTTGCAGTTATGTTGACTCATGTTTTTCTTTATGTATTAAGATAGATCGAATTTTATCGGGTTCAATTAACAATTTATTTATATTTATCGTTTAACATGAGCTTCGCATTAAGACTTGCCATGAATTTATTTTACTTGTTTATCAGTACATTGATAACGATATTGTAATGCATGATGATAAATATTAGATGTGTATATAAAGAAAGAATTACAGTGTAGTCAATAAACTCGCTTGAATGCTCCCGAATCAGTATCTTCATATATAGTCTATCTCTTTGTAGTGGACACTTTAGGGACCTCGAGTTAGTATCTTCATTAGCGAGAGTCTGTAATAACGGGAGTTCATTTCAGTCAAACGTCTGTAATTTACTTTTGCCGGGGATTTAGCTGCTGGCCTTATTATCGGGGTGTCCGTTATAGCGGGGTGTCCGCAAGGCAAGAGATGACTGTGCGCATGTGTACAATTGAACTACGCAGTTATGCAAACACGTCTTTTGAAGTTAGTTTCCATTTGGTCTTATCTTGATCAGTTCCAGCATAACTTTACGTAGGTCCCTGTTCCTTCCGCAGTATATAACAGGATTAAAGAGGGAGTTCCAAAAAACAAACGAAAACGCTATAGGTAACAGTTGTAGCTGACTTTCAGGGTAATTCCTGGGGAGGATATCGATTAATCTTAACAAGCCGTCCAAAATTCCTGGTACATATGAAAGAAACAGAAAAGCGAGAATTACGCTGGTAGTTTTAAAAGCTTTTCTTTCCTCTCGGAATTTTGCCTTCGTTTCGCTGGAAAGATGTTGAGTTTTGATCTGATTCATATGTCGGCGTGAAACAAAATATACCGTTGTATGACAAAATACAATAACCAAAATGGCTGGAATAACAGTTACATACACAAGAAGTCCTGAAAGCGTGGAACGAGTCAGTGGCGTTAACCAGGAAATATTGTAGGAAATTAAAGAAATGGCTGAAATCAGCCAACTACAAACTACAGCGCCAATTAACCTAGGTGTGGTTACGATGCTAGCATATCGAAGTGAAAACTTCATGGCTACATAACGATCAGTACTTAGTATAGCTAAGATCAGCAACGATTCAATACATGGAACGAGATAAATAAAAACTATCTTTTTGTAGAAGAAACAATAATCCACCTGCGATGGACCCGACAGAAAGTAGATTTCCTGTGCGATGAATAATGGCTGTGAAACTACACCCACTGCCAGATCTGTTACCGCTAAGCAAGCCAGTAGTATGTTGTACTCGGACTGTAATCTGCGTCGTGTTTTTATCGCGACGATCACCAACACGTTCATCAAGATGATAAAAGGGCATGATCCTAAGTTCAACGCGATGGAAAACAAACTAGTCACAGTGTTCACCAAAATATACTCTTCGTCTCTCCTGCGGCAAATAATTGATTCATTAAGTGCGGAGTCACTACTGACGTTCATCTCCAAGTTGCTTGAGAGAATCTCACCGTCTTTGAGGAGGTTAATATTTTATATTTTTCAATTTGTAAACCTACAGCTGCCAAGCAGAATGAACTTACTCTTAACGCTAATCTAGCTTTGGATAGATCGATATATCATGCCCAAGGGGTGTTATCAACTGCATTAGCTTTTAAAGCTGTTTGGGTTAAAAAGTAAATCATTCATAATTTTTTGTTTCCTTCTCGCAAATCTAGGATTACAATGACTTCCTTTTAATAAATATATCTGAATGCGAATTGCAAATTATTAACGGAAAATGAAAGGACGCCTACTTCAATCATTAAGAGTGGAGAGCAGAATATGATAAGTAATTAAAACTGACATGCTTTTAAATTTAAAAGCCTGTATTGATAAATCGCCTCTCAAAAGAAAGCTCCGGACAACAATATTCTTTCAACAACAATAGTCTTTCAGTTACGGTCCAACTAAAATCCATAAAGGTAAAAATGCTTTCTAACAACTGCTATTACTATCACTATATTAACTCATTTTATTGATGAAAGGGAGAGTATTAATGATTAGCGATAACAGGAAAAGTATCAGATGAACAAACTTAACTGACAAAATATGTTAATATGTGTGACCTAAAACATTTCTCTTTATTGCACAGGGATTCCCAGATTTCCGTGATTTTAATAATTTTTTTGGAAATATCCTGTGTGATCTAAAACGTCTCTCTTTTTATCGCACAGGGATTTCCAGGTTTCCGTGATTTCAATTATTTTTGGAAATATCCTGTGTGATACAATGATCTCCACTTAAAACGACGTAACCCAAATATTGTACGGAATGTTACAGTTAAAATCGTAATAAGCAAAATTTGGAGTCAGTGTAGAGTATAGTATCATCATTGCTCCATAATCAAACGAACCATAAACCGTACACTGTTGTGACTGTTGTTATACGTTGTTGCTTAAGAAAACTTTTCCGCCTAACGGTAGATAGTATTCAATCTTCTTAGTTACGTGAACGTCATTGGGGATACAAGATCGCAAGATCGATACAAAAGGCCGATCATTAGCTTTCACTAAATACACTAAAATATCAGTTAAGCAATAAGTTTTCTTCACCTGTGGGTATTAGATACTGCGCAGTTTAGGAGAGAAATAATTTTTTAGCACTTAAAGCAGGTATTTTTCGGTGAATATTGAGAATTACTTTTACTTCAATCTTTTAGAGACAATTAGTTCTGAATTTATATGAGATTCAGAGTCTATAAAAACTCAACTTAGTGAGGTACAACGAAAAGTATAATAAATGCCGGCGAGAAAATAAACGTCAGATTACGGACAAAAGTGACTGGAAATTAAGTTTGCCTGCGTGCATACGTCTCCTATTTCCTTTGTTGCACGCGGAAACGTCCGCGTGCAAAAAAGGAAATAGGAGACGTCTGCACGCAGGCAAAAATTAAGTAAGACTGAAAAACAATTACAGAACGAAAAAGGAAATAAGGAGAAGAAAGCGGAATGATGTGGAAAAAGTCAAATCTGTCGCGAATAAACAATTTATATACCTGATTTCATAGCCAGTCTTGTTTTAAAACATGCCCACCCTTTTTGACACTTTCAAGGAAGATTTTCACGCTACTCAATTTCAGTCTTTTTCTTGTATTCAGTTCAACCTTTTGAAAATACTCGCAAAAATGGCGGTCATTTCAGTGACAACAAACAGATCTGGCGGTAGGGAGGGCGCAAAGAGAGGATCTTGACTACATAATTATCTTTGTACTACCTGACCCTCTTGGCGACGCCTATTTCCCTTTCGTAAAAGGACTTAGCGTGTACATTCGTTTCCATTATTAGAGGTCACTTTCACCACACCAAGTGTATAATCATGTTAGATGAAACATATTATCTGGACTTATTATTTACCGTAAGGCAAAAAAAGCTGAAAATACATTGTAATACAGTCCTAGGAAGTTGAATTTAATAGAGACAGTTTATTGAAATATGCGCTTTTCGGAATTTTGCTGGGTCGGCGTGGCAACGAATTCAGGGCAAAGGAGATAGACTGGTATGCTTAAGGAACTGGAACTTCTTTCTTTTTAATTCAGTGGAAACACTTCTATAGCAGGCCAAAAATGGTCTTAACTGTAAGTGTCTTAATAAAACAAGTCAGCGACCGTTCATTAAAAAAATTGAGCCTCTCTATGGGTACCTCAGGGACGTCGGTTTTGTCGCGCGTTTTCCACCAAACCGTCGGTTTTCAGCGAAATAGTCTTATATCAAGAACTGCTTTGAGAGGTGACGCTACAAGAGAGCACGAGCAACCACGATGACCGCAACAGAAACGAGAAACAAAAGAAATATATGAGAAATGGGTTAAATAAGCAAAATAAAAAGCTGCACACTGTTTCTCACTGTTCCTCAGAGACTGCTGTCTAGTACCTCCAAACATTCCATTCGTGAACATACTAGTATCTAAGACTCCCCCTTCATATTTTTATCATAATGTACTTTCATAAGTAGGTGGGATGTCCTTTGGGTACAAACCTCTCACAATAATAAACTTTATACATACTTGTAATTTTAATATTCACAACTAACTGTGAGCCTGAGTGTTGACCGTCTGAATACCATAAAATCATAACGAACAATTATAACATTGGAGAGATGATTAAAAATGGCTGGAGCACACGAAAGGCCAAAAGGGAGGCAGTTATCCACGAAACACTCATAACGAGCGAGAAGGGTCGTGTTCTCCCATGAATCATCCAGCGAATTCCCTGCAGCTGGCGATGTGGAGGATAGACAGGCACCCAACACCAGGCAGAGTTGATATAAACGATAGCGTAGAAATAAGTCAAATATATGAGCTCATATGTTAATGGGTGAAATAGAACAACTGCCTACAGTATTTCCTAACTTATCTTCGAGGTGAAACTTCGTGGTGAAAATTCCTACCAAAGCACAGTCGTGAATGGCCTCTCCGAACTATTCTGCTCAAATCTACTTTTATTTGTGGTTTTTATCTCAAGCTGTTTGCGCGACATTTTTAACAGTGTCGTGAGTAATAACAAGGCTCGCAATTAATTAGACCTTGTCTTTTCTTTGCTTTCGTCGATTCTCTTTGTTTATGAAATCTTTGTACTGATCGCATAAAATTCATACCATCTAGGGCCAAGACGGACCAAATAACAAACATATAACTTCCTGTTTATCAGTATATCTTCTTGATGTTTGATGATCTAATGGTAATAAAACTGGTGTATACAAAGTTTAAAAGAAACGTATTGATGGCGACAGAAGTAATTCGGTAGCTTTCAGTATAGTGAAGTTACATACTCCCATAAACTCTTCATAAACTACATGTACATGAACTACGCAGTAATGCAAAGACGTCTTTTGAATTAGTTTCAGTTTTGTCTTATCTTGATCAGTTCCAGCATAACTTTACGTAGATCTCTGTTTCTCTCGCAGTATATGAGAGGAATAAAGGGGGAGTTCAAAAAACACATAAAAATGTAATAGGCAATAATTGTATCTGATTTTCAGAATCATTCGTTGGCAGGATGCCGATTAATCTAACCAACCCGACTTAAATTCCTGGTATACAATATGAAAGAAACGGAGAAGTGAGAATTACACTGGTAGTTTTTAAGGATTTTCTTTCCTCTAGGAATTTTGCCTTCGCTTCGCTGGAAAGATGTTGAGTTTTGATCTAATTCATATGTCAACGTGAAACAAAATAAACTGTTGTATGACAAAAATCAATAACTAAAATGGCTGAGAAAACAGTTGCGTACACTACATCTGCAAAGCGTCCTCAAGACACGGAATGCGTCCGTGGTATCAACCAGGAGTTAAAGGCCTGATATAGGCCAACTAAAAACCACAGTCCAAGTAAACCTAGGTATCGTCACGATGCTAGTATATGTTAGTGAATACTTCATGCGTGTATAACGCTCAGTACTCAGTATAGCTAAGATCAGCAAAGATTCAAGACACGGAACGAGGTAAACCAAACTTGTCAGTTTGAAGAAGTTGATTCATCCAACTGCGATGCACCCGACAGAAAGTAGATTTCTCTTGCGATAAATAATGGCTGTGAAACTACATCCATCGCCAAAAGAATCTGTTCCCGCTAAACAAGCCAGTAGTGCTGTTGTGTTCGCACCGTAATCTGCGTCGTGTTTTAATCGCGATGGTCACCAACATGTTCATCAAGATGATGATAGGGTATTATCCTATGTTCAGCGTGATGGAAAAGAAACTAGCGAGAATGTTCAGCAAAATATACTCTTCTTCTCTCCGGCATGCGGCAAATAATTGATACATTAAAGGCAGAATTACCGACGTTCATTTCCTTTTTCTTGAGAAAATCTTACCGTCTTTGAAGCAGTTAATATTTTTCAACTTGTAAGTCGACAGCGGCCAAGCAGAGTGATTCGGCTCTTAACGCTGATCTAGCTATGGATAGATCGACAAATCATACTCAAAGAGTGTTTTTAACGGCCTAAACTTTCAAATCTGATCAGGGTAAAATCCTTTATTACTTGTGATTTTAGTTTTTTTGCAAATCTAGAATTTCAATGGACAACAGTCTTTAAATAAACTAGGAAAGTTGAAAAGTAATTACAAGAGATAAACGGAAAAGGACGCTAGTTTCTTCAACTACACACTGTGCCCATAAAAGCGGAAGGCGGTATTTAACGAGTGATCCAAACATAGTACTCTTAAATTCAAAAGCCTTTATTAGTTCAGACCAAGCCTCGGTGAAAAATCGCCTCTCAAAAGAAAGTTATGGACACCAATATTCTTTTGCTAAGTCTTTCAGGGTTCTTAACATATCAAAAGCGAAAAACGAATAATGCAGGAAAACTTAAAAAGGGGTTTCTGAGGCTTTATAATTGGTCACCATAATTCATCCATCCGTCCTTGTGACTCTTGAAACGAACCATAGTCCCTGCTGACTCTACGGATTATGTTGCCACCTGTTAATTAAAAATGACAGCTTTAAAATACTTCTGGTCAATTTAACTGATCGTCGGCAAAAAGGCCTTACGAATCTCCCATTCTTAACAAATATCAGGAAAGTACATAATCCTCTCTGGATCTCTGACTGGGCCATTCACAGATAAACATGAACAGTTTAAACACTTAGAAACTCTTCAGTGTTTGCGAGTTGTATTTTAATTACTCCAATCAACAGGATGATTGATTCTGAATGTGGTATGACCAAGAGAGGATAAAGAATTAGTAGGTATGACGCAGATGATCTGTGGCAATATCGCAATACATGGTGCAATAGAAAAAGCAATATTAAAGCACACAAAATACAGTAAAAATTTCTCTTCATCTGATAAAGTTACGGCAAAGATATTTCTTCCCTTAGCCTGAGGAAAAACCTAACTCGGTGTTTTATAAAATAATGACTGAGCAATTAACCCATCCAGAAGTCTTTTTGACCCTCCATTATGAACTCGCAATTTTATAAAATCTGAGGAAAATCAGCTTTATCAAATAAGGATGAACGATACACTCTTATTCTAGTCTGTGAGCAGCCGTTTTAGCGCTTTTGCCTTTGTCATTTCGCCATACCGATTACAATCAAATTGATAGTCTCATGTGTTGACTCGAAGTTATATTATTAACATATGTTATTGTGAATTTACAAATGAACATAAAAAGCATCTCATAAATGTATAAATAGAAAGGTACGTTGAACCTTCAAAAAGGTAAGTAATGGATTTGAAAATCCTCTTGAACATATAATGACGTCTTTAAAGTTAGTTTCCATTTGGTCTCATTTTTAGCAGTTCCATAGTACTTTGACGTAGATCTTTGTTTCTCCAATAGTGAATAAGAGGATTAAGGAGCGAGTTTAGGAAAATACATGACAAAACTAAAGGCAAGAGATTTGTCTGCCATATATCGCGTTTTAATATACCGTACAAAAGTGATGGCACATACGAAAGAAATACGAACGCGATAATTATACTTGTAGTTTTCAAGGCTTTCCTTTCTTGTAAGAATTTAGTCTTCGCTTCGCTTGGAAGCTGCTCTGTTTTGATCCGATTTATATGCCGGCGTGAAACAAGATAAACTGTCGTATGACAGGATGCAATGATTAAAATGGCTGGGATAACAGTTACATAAACGAACACTTTGGCAAGTAAACGTGTTGCCGGTATTAAGCTTAAAATTACAGAAAAAACTGAGATAATCCAACTACAGAGTACAGCGCCAGTTAACCTAGGTGTGGTCATGAGGCTAGCATATCTAAGTGAGAACTTCATAGCTATATAGCGCTCCATACTTAGTAAAGCTAAGATCAGCAACGATTCAATACTTGGGAAAAGACAAAGGAATACGGTCTTCCTGTAAAAGTGGCAGTAATCCTCCACCGATGCACCTGAGAGAAAGAAGATTTCTTGAGCAATGAATAATGGTTGTGAAACTAAGCCGACTGCCATATCTGCTCCCGCTAAACAGGCCAGTAGTATGTTGTAGATGGAATGTAATCGGCGTCTTGCTTTTATGGCGACGATAACTAACGCATTCATCAAGATGATAATGGGACATGATCCTAAATTCAGCGCGATAACAGGCAAAGTAGCGAGGATGTACTCCAAAAAATACCGCTCTTTCGCCACGCGACAACTAGCAGCATCCTTCATACTGGATGAGGAATTAGTGAAATTCATCGCTGCTGTTTGGAAGTGTGTCCTTATAGGTCGAAATTTGTTAGTTTTTCTATTGCGTCGACATGTTCGTTATTGAAAAGTCTCTGTTGCTTACAGATTCTGAGCACAAAGCTCTATACACTGACGCAGATGGTAAAAGCGTGTCTAAAGGCCAATCGCTTTTCTCGAAGTGATTTAAGTACGGGATTACCATTCAATCTGAATGCATGGTACTTCTCGTTAATGACAGTCTCAGTCTCCGGTTCCCTTCGTTAGGGTTTACGGTTTTTTCATAAAATTGTTATTTATAGTACTTTTATTTTTTCACATTACATAATGTAGGTGTTGTTATTCGAAATATAAAATCTATTAAGGTAAAATGCGTTCTTAAAACTGTCATTCATGTCAATATATAAACTCATTTTATTAATGAATTAAGAGAGAATATTGAACATTTGCGATTGACGGAAAATAATAAAATGGGCGAACTTTACTAACAAACTGGGTAAATATGAGAATTCTGTGGAGTGAGACTCACCGCCAGATCTGTTCCTGTTAAAACAAGCCAGCAGTATGTTGTACGTGGACTGCAACCTGCGTCGTTTTTTTTGTCGCGATGATCACCAACATGTTAATCAAGATGATAATTTGGCATGATCCTAAGTTCAGCGCGATGGAAAAGAAACTAGCGAGAACGTTCACCAAAATTACTGAAATTAATGACGTTCATTTCCTTTTTCAGGAAAGCAAAATGTTTCACCAGACAATGTTTTTCTATTCGACATTGGATACAGCAAGCGGGTGACATATTTCTTTGACACAAGCCGTAATTTTGTCATTTACTAGCAATTTCTTCGCCACTATTGCTCCGCTTTCCAACAACATGCGACCACAAGTCAAAAGTATAACTATCGTTAAGGCTTTTTCGCCTCCGTCACTCACTCTAACGGACCTCTCGGGAAACACGTGCGTTCTTCAGAGGGTTCAAAAAGTCACGTCTGTAGGTTGTACCTTATCATTACTTATTTTCGTGAGACTTAATTTTCGCGATATTCGCGATTTGAAAAGTTCTGCGAAAAAAGGTGCGGCGAAAATTAAAGACACGAAATTTAGTGACCTTTATAAAAACCTTTATTTAAGTTTTCTGTCAGCCAGGAGTAAACGTACGAGTAGGAGGGCTCAAATTTCAGTTCGACGCATGCCCTTTTTCCTCATCATCTGACTCGGCATCTTGCGGAAGTAGGTATGGACCATTAGAAAAGAGATGGGGGGTGGGGACTTTTTGTACATGAAAGGTGGAAACCTTTTTTCTTTTTTTCATCCTTGGGCATATATTTTTCTGGCAAGGATTCGTAGGAACCTCAGTACAGTCTTCAGCAAATTTGCTTCAGCATATCCTTCATAAAGCGGATATATGTTTACAGCTTGGTATTCGGCCGAAGTTCAGAAACAAATGGAATCGGGAAACAGCACTGATGAGATTGAGGTCGATTTAAGCCTATCTGTGCTGAAGCCCTCACAAGTCACCTGGCTGGTGAGACTTTACAGCCACTTGACAGGCTGTGTCGGAAAGCGACGGCACATTGCAAAAGAAGAAAGGCGGAAATATCCGAACTTCAAGGCTAGAAAACCTTATCGCCTGAAGATCCATTTGAAAACATTGAGGCGATCCTTATCTAAAAGCTAATTGGCAGCGCCATCGAGTTAATCATCGGTGCCTTGGTTTCTTATATCAGTGTACTTTAAAAAGATGTTAGGTTGCTGACATTGTTGAACATTTCAGCCACTCGCTTGTTGCGTTTCTATTTCGTTATGGTTAGAATTAAATAAAATGCAGAAACGGAAGTTTAAAAAACGAGCACCAGTGTACTTGATCCGCAAAATTTAATTACCTTGAAAAACGATGATTCGTCAAAATCGCGAAATTTAGGCGCCGCGAAATATTTCTTTACCAAATTCGCGAAATCAAAGTCACGCGAAAATAATTAGCAATTAGTGAATTCTGCTTTCGTATGAAGAATTAAGCAGATCTCGGAGGGTGTTATCCGCCGAGGCCGAAAACCTAACTGTTTTATAAAAATGACTGAGCCATTAACCCATCCAGAAGTATTTTGACCCTCCAGTATGAACTCGCAATTTTATAAAATCTGAGGAAAATCAGCTTTATCAAATAAGGATGAAAGACAGTTTTAAAAAAAAGGTGATTGCATCAATGTTAAAATAAGAGCTGGAAATTTGATTTGGGTGCATCAGCCCTCGAGACAAGACAGTTTCATTCTACACACTCTGTCTGTAGGCAGCCGTTTTAGCGATTTTGCCTTTCGCATTCGATAGACTTTGCCATACCGATTACAATCTATTTCACAGTCTCTGATACTCAATCAAAGTTGACAGTTCACAAACTTGCATTGCCTAAGCCCAGGACAGAGTATCAGAGTATCTGAAGCACAACTGCCACCTCCCCACAATGGCCACATCCCCACAACGGCCACCTCTCCACAATGGCCACCTCTCCACAACGGCCACCTCTCCACAATGGCCACATCCCCACAACGGCTACCTCTCCACAATGGCCACATCCCCACAACGGCCATCTCCCCACAACGGCCACCTCCCCACAACGGCCACCTCCCCACAATGGCCACCTCTCCACAATGGCCACATCCCCACAACGGTCACCTCTCCACAATGGCCACCTCCCCCACAATAGTCACCTCCCCACAATGGCCACCTCTCCACAATGGCCACATCCCCACAACGGCCACCTCCCCACAATGGCCACATCCCCACAATGGCCACCTCCCCACAATGGCCACCTCTCCACAATGGCCACATCCCCACAATGGCCACCTCCCCACAACGGCCACCTCTCCACAATGGCCACATCCCCACAACGGCCACCTCTCCACAATGGCCACATCCCCACAACGGCCATCTCTCCACAACGGCCACCTCTCCACAACGGCCACTTCCCCACAATGGCCACCTCTCCACAATGGCCACCTCCCCACAACGGCCACCTCTCCACAATGGCCACCTCCCCACAATGGCCACCTCTCCACAATGGCCACCTCCCCACAACGGCCACCTCTCCACAATGGTCACATCCCCACAACGGCCATCTCTCCACAACGGCCACCTCTCCACAACGGCCACCTCCCCACAATGGCCACCTCTCCACAATGGCCACATCCCCACAACGGCCACCTCTCCACAATGGCCACCTCTCCACAACGGCCACCTCTCCACAATGGCCACCTCCCCACAATGGCCACCTCTCCACAATGGCCACATCCCCACAACGGCTACCTCTCCACAATGGTCACATCCCCACAACGGCCATCTCTCCACAACGGCCACCTCTCCACAACGGCCACCTCCCCACAATGACCACCTCTCCATAATGGCCACATCCCCACAACGGCCACCTCTCCACAATGGCCACCTCCCCACAATAGTCACCTCCCCACAATGACCACCTCTCCACAATGGCCACATCCCCACAACGGCCACCTCCCCACAATGGCCACCTCCCCACAATGGCCACCTCCCCACAATGGCCACCTCTCCACAATGGCCACCTCCCCACAACGGCCACCTCTCCACAATGGCCACATCCCCACAACGGCCACCTCTCCACAATGGCCACATCCCCACAACGACCACCTCTCCACAATGGCCACCTCTCCACAACGGCCACCTCCCCACAATGGCCACATCCTCACAACGGCCACCTCTCCACAATGGCCACATCCCCGCAACGGCCACTTTTTTTGTCCCAGCGGACAGTCCTTACATTGACTCTTTTTTAAACCTCTCTACAATGACCACTTCCTCTGCAACAGCAACGGCCATTAACGTGTTTCCCCTAAATAACCTCTCGACAACGGCCAGTTTTTTCAAAAAAAGTCAAGAACGACTGTGAAATTTGATTCGTATGCGCGTTGATGATTAATCGCGGCAATCGTATTTTGATTGTGTTGCATTTATACTGCAGCAGTAAGCGTTAAGTGTCTACGATACTTATAGCGAACGTTGCGAATCTTGCTGGTTTGTAACGTTAACATTTTGATGCAAAACATTATTTAAGTCTTTTTGTGTGTGTGTTTTATCTCTGTATATCATTTATGATTGGATTATCATTATGGTATAAAGTAGGCATGAACTTGGCACAATAAAAATGTTGTGCTCCTTTAAAAAAAAATATCACTTTACACCCCTACCTAAAGCAAGAACAATAGAGTTTAGATCCGTGTAAAATTGGGATAGGAATGCTTTTCTTTCGGATCTTAAAAACATTCCTTGGGACAGCTCTAACATTTATGACAACATTGATGATATTTGGTCGCAATGGTCTGGTCTCTTTAAACAGGTTCTTGACGAGCATGCACCTGTGAAACGAGTACAGCTCCGTGATAATCAACTGCCGTGGATTAGTCAAAAGCAGATTTGCACAGTATACGTAATAGACTTTATAAGATATATTTTCGTTCATCAACAAACTTAAACTGGAAAAAGATGAAACCGCTTCTTCCAGACAATAAATCCAACATTGCTGGAGCTACCAATATCCACCTCTTAGACGAGGGCGGAAACTCATTTCTAATCCCAGCATTGCATTCACCGACTTCTTTGTGAACCAAATGTGAACACAAGAATACAGAAAACGGAAGAGGACTTCGATAACCACCCGAGCATTACAAAAATTTGGGGCAAGTCGTACCAACTTAATTTCGCCTTATGGAAATCACTGCAGAAAACGTAACAGATTACTTATTAAAAATAAATGCTAAGAAATCTACCGGTCCTGATGGCTCCTCACCGATGATCTTAAAACTATCTTCTCCAGCTATAGCCTCTCCACGAGCCAATCTGTTTAATCACCCCTTTCCAAAAAAGGGTGAAGCGAGGGACAAAAATAATTACCAACCTGTCAGTGTCCTCTCTGCAGTCTACAAGCTTTCCGAAAAAGTGATGTTTGATCAACTGTACAC